AGCTTTATTTAAATTTTCCCGCCGAAATTAGATTTTGAAATTCCCGCGTAATTTTCCGCTTGAATTAGTTCCGATACAAATCTATTGGGGCCTGAATTTCATATCTAACTAAAGTATTGTCGTGAAGCATCTAGATCTAGAGGTAGGTGATTTGTGGGTACAATTAGAAATCACAGTCCCAGTATTTTTAAAATTTTGTAAAATCTTTTGTTGTTAAATGACTTGGAATTGGTCTATTGAGATATCTTACGCTAAATAAATATCTGACAATTCGCGCAATTGAATAACTTTCTCCTCAACTGAATACATTTTTTAATCAACTATATTGTTTTTTAAACAATAAATCACAAAATTAAAATTTTGGCAATTCAAATATTGTCAAATATCAGAAACATAAATATGACCAAACGCATCATGTCATACACATTCTTGTACCTCGTGTGGCCTGACTTTAAGGGGTGGCCTAGATTGTATTACATTTTTACATAATTTTGGGATACATTTAATTCGTAGAACAATTTTAACATTTGTTTTTAATACATATTTCAGTCGTCTACAAATAGTTTCTTATCACTTTTGATGTAAAATAATTAGGGAAGCAGAAATTCAACAATTTAGAATTTCCCATTGAATTTCCTAAGGCCCGTTTGTCGATTCACCGCCCTGTATAGGGGAGTCCAACACATAACCTCAAACCGAATTGTCAAAATGTCTGGAGGGCAAACAATGGATTGAATAACATTGTGATTTGCAGTAATAGACAAATATTTAATTGTAGTTATCCAAATATAATTAGTAGATGACCTAATAATTGATAAAAAGCAATTTTCTTTAATATAATTCTAATTCACATTGATTACATGAAGATATTTATAATTTAATGAGGTAAGTTGAAAAGTTCATAATAGTTTAGTTAAGTCCTTTAACAACCACAATTATTGTCAATATATCCTTATAATGATTGATAAGAATGTACTTTTATATATTACCATATTCGGTATATCGCTAATATTTCTCAGTTATAGATTTAGCTTCATTTAAACCCCCTCTGTGGCTCAGTGGTAAGAGCGCCTGCCTTTAAACCTAAAGGTCGTGAGTTCGAATCCCACCTGGGTGGAAATTTTCGTTTATTAAAAAAATTAATAGATGAAAATAATTTCTATCCTTGTGTGATCGGTACACACCGGAGGGACCGCAGACGTTCGGATACAATTAGCGTCTCTTAGCAAAGATAATGACGTCGACTTTGCTAAGTATCAAGACAATTACTCTACACACACACACACACACACACACACACACTACACCTCAAATTGTAAGATTGGCGAATGGATTTAGTGTCCGCAGTCATTTAAACACAAACAAACAACATAGCTTCATTTAAACATTTTAGTGTTAACACAAAATGAGTTGCTGATATTAAAATAACATATTTTTATCAATAAAATTTTAACATTTTTGAACTAAGTGCGACTCAAAATATTTTTTATAATATAGTAAAGACATTTACACCTTTTTAATTGATAAGAAACCTAACTGTTTATTAATTTGGTGAACGTTATTTTGTTTTAGAAATGGATCGAAGTCATTACTTCAATAACTTGAAATTATCATGTAGCAAGCAGATATCTAGAGAAATTAAAACTAATCAACAACATAGATCCATATACTATTTCAGAAATTGAATTAAGTTACAATCAAAATGATTTTCCCCCAACAAGTAGCATAGATGTAGTGAGCTATCTAGTGTTGAGCACCAGTTTTTAAACACAACATCAAATTAAAGCTTACAAAAGCCTGCAAGCATACAAATACTTTAAAGCAGGTTTTGTGAGTAATTGTGGGTCAAAAGTTGTAAATGACAAGTGACATTAGGGAAAGTGAGTATAGCATTTGAGGAGCAAATGTTTTTTGCTAGTTGTTATAACCCGACAAGCGAGAGCTGGCGGGTTGCGTGTAGAACAAATTGAAAAGTGGAAGGGATTGCTCATTTCTATTGCAGTCGGCTAGGAGTTCACATCGTGTATAACCGTTTAAGTACCTATACTATATACCTATAGTCGCGATTAAGTACCTCTCCTATCTCTCTTAGAATAATTCCTTTTCTATTTTCGCGCAGCTCACCCGCCAGCTCTCGCTTGTCGGATTATACAATATGTTAACCTGTTCTTTTATTGTTACAGATTAAACATTCACAAAAAATGAACGAGCTACCACTACAAGCATGGGTTAGGTGTAACCAAGATGGAAGTATAGAAACAGGACATTGTACATGAATGGCAGGTGCAGAAGTGTATAGCTATGTTGGTGTGATATTGTATGCACTAGAATATATAGCTGCATCAAAAGATAATATAGCATGTACAGATGTGAGGTCCCTCTGAAATGTGCCCAAAACTGCAAAGGTTGAATGTAAACCAATTAGAGGTATTGATTTTGGCAAAATATTTTCTGGATCATGAATTTCCTCAGAAGTGCTTTGCATGAGTGATGACCATATTGTACAGTTTTTGACTGACATCGAAAAAGCTGGAAGTTTATCCGTTTTAAGCAAAGTGACAGAACCATTTGCTGAACGAATGGCTGAGTCATTAAGAAGAATGTCGATATCACCAATTAACCCATTTTCTTTGTTATATAATTTTATACACATACATTCAGTTAATTAAAGTTGTTGATAACTTGGTTATAAGTTAGGATGAAAGTGAATGTATAACCATTGAAAAGAGTACATGAGACCAAAGTAAGTCAGAACAATTGTTTCATCAATGAAGAGGAAGAATAACAGTATCGAATTTTAAAGTAGCTGACAATTCTCGCATTGAAAAACCGTCATTATCCCTAATTAAAACTATATGTTATCCAGTACAACGTTTGTTCAAAACCAGTGCAACAGAGTGGGGGAAAAATTATAAAAAAAAATGCAATAGAACCTTTCCGAAAATATTCATATACATACCCATGAAAATCTAGTCATAAACATGCTGGATTTTTCATTAAGCCTGAATTTCCACAACGTGGTGCAACTCCTAATGCAGTGGTTTTTTGCAAATATTGCAGTAAGGGTGCTTAGAAGTGAAATGTTCTTATTTATTAAAAGATATGTCAATAGCAGAGTTCATAAACTTACCTTCATTATGTCTTATTAGAAATCCTGATGGAGAAGTTCGATTAAATAGACAACATAAATATCACTATCAAATTCAAATGGCTCTCTCCAAGTTTACTATTGTCATTTTGTAATATGGTCTCCAACTAAATTATATCATGAAAAAATTATGTGTAACGAAGAATTTTGAAAATTTTACATGGAAAAAGCAAGTTTTTCTCATAAAAACTTATAATTCCAGAGTTACTTTGCAATATTTTAGCAAACTTAACATGGTGTACATGTAAAGGCATTGATGATGGCCAACCAATGATAAAATGAAAACTGCAGTATTTCTTGGTTTCACTTTAAGTGTGTGAATCTCTTAGAGGTACCTACTTACGAGTTACTTTATGGTTTTGAGAAGCTTGTTCTCCTTAGATGTGGAATCTTTAATTTTTACTGTGTCAAGTAAATTTTTTGTTTGTAAATATTAAATTAATAATTTTTAAAATAAATAATTAAATTATTAATAAAACGTAAATATAGTAAATTTGTTTCTCAATTTATTTTTTTAATGTTTAATGTTTAATGTGTATTTGAACATAATATGGTATATAGTTGTGAATAAAAGAAATTCAAAATAAATGTTTTTTTTTATTACAAATGTATCAAAATTATATCATATGTTAAGCAATAATAACAATATAATAATGGTGCAACTGTTTCCATTCAGTGAGTGTCTTTTTAAAAGGTTTCAAATTTTAAAGCAAAATGCTTCTTTATTCATCAATTGCAAATTCCAAAATAATAAAAGTACAATTTATTATGATACTTTGAAAATGAGAGAGAATAACATGCTTACATTACACTTTAAGTTTAAAAAAATAAGGAAAAAACAAGAATCAAATTATATTAACAGAACTGAATGTACATACAAGTTGAGAGTATAACTACTAATAATGGCAAACTAAAAGCATATATTAAGGAAAGGAATAATTGTAGGACGTATATTTATAGGTACACAACACAAGAATACTATTTGGTCTAGTAAAGATTGTTCTTCGCCTACCATTTATTAATGTCATCGGAATAATTTGCTGAGTTATTCTAAATTTATTTCGGATCATTCCAATAATTCTTTCTACATGAATTCTTAGATGTTCGATCGATTTGGTTTCTTCCAAGTTAACTGGATGCATTTGAGTTTTTTTCTTCCTAAATTCAGGAGTTTTTACTGACGCATGAAATATTTCACAAATTATTTGTTTAGGAATCTTCTGTTAGCCACAATCACATTCCCTGGCAGCAAATTGTTCACAAATCAGATTGAATTTAATTTAAAGACTATGTAAACAAACCTTTTAAACTAATTTTTTCAGTTTCACAACAGAAGTTTTTTTGAAAAAGTCCTAAGCTTAAACATTTTGGTCCGTTTTCCAATCACTGAACTGATAATTTAACTCACAATTTATATAATTAATCGAAAACACTATTAAATTTCAATACGACTCAATAGTTTGTTTGCCCTCCAGACACCATATTGGATTTAATTTGACAGCTCGTTGGACTGCCCTATACCTTTTATAAAGGAATTTTTAAATAATTTTTTTTAGAAGTAATATTTTCAAAAAAATTCTTCACCACCCCACTGAGTTGATATTTAATTTAAATTTCTCATAAACAATGGTATTATTTTCACACTTTTTTAAACTTATGGTTTATGATGTTTAAACAATTAAAATCAGTCACACCTTTTGTTATCCTGCTATCTTAGTCCCAAGCTATAAACCATTTACGGTTTCTTATCAATTCATTGTCAGATCGTTTTAGTATTTCCTGAATATTGTAATTTTATCGTATTACGTAAGCTTTGAGAATTGTAGATTACGGTAAAAATATATTTACTAACCTTTTTCCTGAGAAGTATACTTCCGGCCCTTCTTTAATAACGAACTTTGAATCATTGTAACCCCAACCATTCCATTTTATTAATTCTTGGCTGAAACAAATATAAACTATTTTTAGTAGGTACACATACACATAATACTGCTCACAATTTCTAAAGCACTACAAATATTAATCAAGTTTGTGTTATGATAATTTTATGTGAATTTGATAGTAGTATATGGCACAATGCTGAGGTAATTCTATTGTACAAAAAAGGAGATCCCCATGAATTAGAAAACTACAGACCTATAAGTCTTCTTAGTCACCTATATAAACTCTTTAGAAGAATAGTAACGAATCGTCTTGATAAAAAACTTGATTTCTACCAGCCAATAGAGCAAGCGGGAACAAATGATCACCTACAGAGCATTAAAACGGTAATACAAAAGTCTATCGAATACAATCGACCACTCGTTCTGGCCTTTGTTGATTTCCATAAAGCCTTTGACACGGTAGAATTTGACAAAATCCTGGAAGCACTACAAGCATGCCGCATTGACTACCGATATACAAGGTTAGTTTACAATACATACAAAAACGCAACTACGTCGGTGAAACTACATGAAAAGACGGATCACATCCCAATCGGCAGAGGAGTCCGACAGGGTGATACCTTATCGCCTAAACTGTTTACCGCAGTACTAGAATATGCTTGTAAAAAACTTAACTGGGACGAGAAAGGCCTGAACATTGACGGTAGAAGATTAATAAATCTGAAATTCGCAAACGACATAGGTTTGTTCTCGGACAACCTCAAGGAGATATGTACAATGCTACATGAACTTCAGTTAGTGTGTGCCAGTGTGGGTCTTAAAATAAACATCTCCAAAATAAAATTCATGACAAACCTAGTACCTAGCGGAAATATCAATATTGGAGACAACGAAGTAGAGCTGGTTAAAATATATATATATATATATATATATATATATATATATATATATATATATATATATATATATATGTTGTTCCAAAAGGAACCAAAACCATGTTTTGGTTTCTTTGGTCATATATATATTAAACAAGAAGGTTCACACAGAATCTTTATTAAGCAATCAATAAGCTTACAAGTTACATGACACTGGCCGGAATGGCGTTACCGGATGACATCTATCTGTCATCGGTCTTCTTCTTTTTTATCTTATATCTAACATAATATATTACACGTTCCCTTTTTTTTTTTAAGATAGTACAAAACTAAAATACAAATTAAACTAAAATACAAATACAAACAAGTAGCTACAATTTCAATTTAACACATAGGTAACACATGGTAGTGTTACCTTCCTCCTCATCTCTTACATTCAGTAGGTTATCTGAAATGCAAGTGTTATTTTTAAATCTAGGTAAATCAACAATAACGTCATTATTTAATTTAACATTTTCAAACATCTCAATCTTAATATCAGTAAGACCTTCATGGTCACTATGATTTTCACAGATATCACTATCATTCTGACTCACAATTTTAAAATCAGATTCAGTTGGGATATCATATCTACCATGACCAGTTGGGGTACTAACATTGTGTACTTCGTTATTGCAAAGCAAGATATTTTCATTTTTAAATAAATTCAAATGAAGATCATATAATAAAAAGTCTTTATTACACGATAAATTTGTTTTATTTAGAAACTTTCTATTCCGTCTACATTCTATACCTTTTGAATCCTGAACAATATAAGACCTATCATTAACTATGTCTCTTACTACTCCCTTTATATATATATATATATATATATATATATATATATATATATTATATATATATATATATTGTTATGATATGTAAAATCGAGAAAAGTATTGGTTTGCTTAAAATATTTCAAAGTTCAAAAACATTAAAATAATTCAGATAAGTCAAACAATAAACTACAAACATTTCGAAGAATGAAAGTCTTTTAATTTTTGGATTACCTGTATTGAACAAAACGTAAGATATGCATAAATTATTTTCTTTGTTAAAATATATTTGAGTGACCCGCATAAGGTTAAGTGAAATTCTAAACAATGGAAGCGGTTTTTCCAAATAAATGTTGTGCAGTAATTAGGACAATAGAATAGATTTTAGAAAGATATGTTTTTGTTAGTTTTTAAGGAATTGGTAGGAAAAGAAATTTTGTAAATAAGTTTTAGGAAATTTTATAATTGTAGGTAAAAATTTGTTGTGTTATCCAAATGAAGAAATGGGAGATGTATGACCCGTTTTGATTGGATGAGATTGAAAAAGGTGGGAGGTTTGGTTTGAGAATGAGACGTTAGTTAGTTTTGGAAGAAAAAAATATAGTCAGTTGGTTTTCCAAGGGTGCAAGGCGAACGGCCGTTGTTCTCGGGTAGTTTCCCAGAGGTAGGAAGCAGTAGCAGTGAAAGTTTGTGAGTTTTCGTGTAGTTAGTGTATCTGACAGAAGCTGATCCAGTAAAAGATTGTAAGTTATATTTTCTACTTATATTCCAAGAGTCACTGTTCAGGCCAACGAGAGATTCAGTTTATCGTAAAGAGAAGATATTCCAAGAGTCATTTTTCACTCAGGCCAACGAGAGATTCAGTTTATTGAGAGAAGAAGAAGCTAGCATAATTTGAACGATTCGTGCATTTGAAGGAGATCATTAAGGACGACAAACTTGCAACAATTTGTTGTAAGATTGCTGATTACCTAGGGAGCTGCTAAGAATAGATAGTATAGGTTGCGAGGAACAAGGATTAGGACCAGTCCTCATCATAGAGAGATAGTTTTGTTTTTCTGCAGTTTTTTCTTTCATTGATAATACAATTTTTACAATTACTTTGGAAAATATATAAATATTTTGATTAGGACATTTAGAAAAATAATTGGGATTTTGAGAGTTTAACTAATATTGTTTGTACCATTAATTTTGAAGGTTCACGTACGTAGAACAAAATTTTGAGAATCATTATATGAGATATTGTTTACTGCATTTATTTTTATTTCAATATATAATGTTAGATCCTATATGTTTTTTATTATTCCGGTATTCTTTGGACCTTACCTTTCACATATAATAGCATAGATATTGAAGCACGAATATAACCCTGAGATAAGAGAATTAAAAAGTGTGATAGAATCATAGTTATATCATTTAAATAATTTTAATTAATTAATTAATTAGCTAATTAATTGCTTGGCGCACTAAGACTTTAAATATCACAATAACATATATGTGTGTATATATATATATATATATATATATATATATATATATATATATATATATATATATATATCTTGGACACGAAATAAAGATCACAAGAGACAACCAAACATGCGAAATACGAAGAAGAATAAACCTAGCATTGACAGCTACCAGTTCTAAAACGCTGCAAATAGCTCAAAGGAAAATGAAAAGATCAATGCTGAGTATATCGCTTCGTGACCGAGTTAGAAATGAAGACTTAAAACGAAGAACAGGAGTTACCGATGTAATTTCCCGAATTACCACACTGAAATGGAACTAGGCCGGACACGTCGCCCGAATCAGTGATGAAAGGTGGACGAAGAGATTGTTTGAGTCCCTGCTTGAAGACCCCCCACACGATGGACTGATAATCTCAAGAACATGTCAAGAAATTGGATGAAAAGTGCTCAAGACAGAGCACAATTTACAAAAATGAGTGAGACCTATGTCCAGCAGTGGTCGCAAAGGGCTGGGTGATGATGATATTGTAAAAAACAATGATTAAACACATGTGTCTAATTATCCTTTATCATATTATACTAAAAATACTCTATACATAATCTTTTAATACAGTAATAAGGCGTAATACCTCGTCTACCTCTTATAACTGCTAGCATTCGTCCGTTAAAGTTTTTTACGCTCTGTGGATATGTGTTATAGCATGTAAATTGAGGTATGTACATGCTCAAAAGTATGTAAATCCACAAAGAGTCATACCTGTGCTGATCTCTGACTGTGTGGGGGAAGCACAGATGAGAGTGGGTGAGGAAGTTTTGATCTCCAACATGGCGTATCGTACTGGTTAATGGTTAACATCATTTGAATATATAGCACAGATATTATGTGAATCAAGTATAACCAAATAAACACTCGCCATCAACTGAGAACATGGCATAGGGGCTGCAACTATGTCATTACCTGGAGATTTATTAATTTTAACATACGAATTAAGCAAAAACATACCGAGAATGTTAAAAACAAAAATGAAGAACTGATGATAAACTTCTACACGAATAACTAACTTAGAATAAACAACACATGTTTTGGCCACAAAGACCAACACAAATATACATTCAATAACACCCGAGTACAAAGATCTATGATAGATTACGTTATAGCCAACAGAGATATACAACCATCGAAAATAATCGTCGTAAAATGCCTCAACTCAGCAGATGCAGGTAGCGACCATAGCTTAGTATGTAAAATAAGAATCATCATTCCACGGAATAGTTATATAGAAAAAGAATATCAGAGAAGATTGCTGGGAATGATATATTAGAAAAAGATAACATCGAAGAAAAATTGGACTAGTGATCGGAGGTTTAGATATAAAAACTTTGAGCCAAAACTTTGGCTAGATCTCAACTAAGATGTAGTTACAAAAGTTAATCATTAAATTACGTATTGTTTAATGATTGTATTTTTATTTCCCGCAAAATAGTGTATTTTTATGTATGAGAGAGTAATAAAACAATAAATTATGTATGCAAATCCCTAAACTGTTGATACGGGTGACTCAATGAAAAACAGATATTTGTCAACAAGTTTACAGAAGTATATAGGAAAACAATTTTAAATTGAGTATGACCACTAGGTATAAAGGTTGGAGCAGAATAGAATACAATAGTTGTGAGGGTTACTAATCCCTAAATAAGGTTGCCAGTGTCGGAGTGATGGAGGTTAACAGGTACTAATGAATTTGCAAGAAATGTAAGATGTTTATTTTATTGGTTATATATAACCAATAAAAGTTTAATAAGTACCTACCTATTTGCAAAATAAAGTTTAATTGTTTAGATAAAATAAAACGTTTTATTTTATCTGAAATGAGTGCATTCCACGAAGTAAAGGTTT